CCCTCAATCATAAATTACAAATGCCTGAAGAATAACGATGATAAAACTCGCGATTTCACTTGGTTATTACGTATAGTCCGTTTTCGCAACGATTTCGATTGCAGGTGACTAAACCGACGACTATGACCCGAGTCAGAACTTTGAACCGCTGTACAGGGCGCACTTTTACACCCCCTACATGGGTTCATTCATTCATTTGCCAACACAATAATCACTGCACTGGGCCCAGTCATTTAGCCACTATTCAGCCAGGGCCATATATACTATGATAATTACCTGAAAAATGTACGGGTACGGGTATGTTAGCAAATTAATACAAACAAAACAAATGCAATTCGATCTCGAACTGGATCTCGTTGTCTTCCGCTTCTCAATTGCCGTAAAACGCAGTTTGAGTGGCTATTGCATAAGTACCAGATGGAAATCGAGCACTTCATTGGGATTATATTGACGGTAGATGGAATATTCTGGGATGGGGCTTCAACTGAGAGCTACGATCAATAAATGTATATCACATCCATTGAACTTCAAAGATCTGAATAGATAAGTTAAACAAATTTAAGATTAATAAAGAATTATATTAACGAATATGAAGTGAGGGAAAAATTCCAGATCCCCCGATAATCACAGGTCAAGTGGCAAGGCAATCTATAAAGACCCCTCCACAGCCCCAACACCTCGAAACTGCTCTCTTTTTGCACCTCTTGTTTACGATTATAAACAATAAACATATTTATGATCGGTCATATAGAATAAAACTCACTAAAACTCGACAATGGAATGTTTGCGAATTTTTTCTATATTTTTTCGGAATCAGATAGAAGTGGGCATGGGAACTGCAGGAGGGGTGAACACTGGCCCCATGTCAAGCGCATTGGGAGTGTAATTAGAATTGTTGCCGAACCTCAAGTTGATAAGCCCACACACATGAAACAAAGACCCGAATGGAATTGGATCCAGGAGGAGAAGCGAATACTCTTAATCGATATCGCTTAGAAGGTTAATGGAAGGAGAAGGTGGTGTTATATAGTATACTATTTCACAATGACTCAGCTTACTACGAAATATTATTAATAAACTATTATTAAGTAGCGGAGTACTGATTAAACTTAAAAGCGTTTTCCGTTTTAGGTCTTAAAGTGGTTATAAATACGCAATATTCTGTGCTCACCATGTTAACTGGGCCTACACACGTCTACCATCTCCCAAAAAGTTTTATAAGGATTGGCCAACGAAAGATCAACAAAGTTGGTAGTGTTCATACCCCCACTTGACTGATAAGCGAATTCAAATGGTAATGCTCTGCTCCTCTATAGTTAATTTTTATTGATCGGTCCCTTTGATTAACAGCTCAAATTTACTAGGTACTTCTAGAGCGACTAAAGTATTAACCATAATGGGTTTTACCTGTTGACTCATATATTATGTGATTAAGTTTAAAATGTGGTTGATTCATAAGGAGACTTGACTAACACTTGACGAAATAATCGTAAGACTCGTAAGACTCGTAAACTTTTGTAGATAAGAATAAATCTATTTGTGATAAACATGTATCGTTTAAAGAAATACGCCTTGCAAAGAAATATGATATGTTCCACTTTAAGATCTACGTAGTAAGTTTTTACCAACTTGTGAGCAAAGTTGATTTACTTAATGTATATCTACCCTTCCCGAAACATTGTTCCATTAAGGCTTGTTGTGCCCAGAGATCGGGCTGTCCGATAAAGTCAATTCACCCCAATCGACGTGATTCTGAAACGAGTCCGATAGATGAAAGTAAAAGTGCAAAAGCCAGTCGGGCGATAATACCCCTCCAGAACCCCTGATAAGCATTTAACGTACCCGGACATGGGGTTATATGCGTACTCCATGTAGTAAAATCGCCTCTGCTGTCGGGCAGTAATTAATTCATGTTTTTTTTGTGGTCCTATCTCTTGCTTTATATCTACCAAAATCTGTCACTTTTTTGCACCACTGAGTGGATTTACTATTTTCGGCCCCGAGATTGATAAAACCAATTCTGTTCTTTGACTGGGGGTCTTCGGCGGTTGATTGGCCATTATTCTTGTCAAGTACCTCCAACGAATATTCCTCCCCGGGGAGCTTATCAATTCGAAATAAAATATATATATAGAAAAAAGGGGAGGGGATTACTGGTTTATAGAAAAACCGGCACAATTGAATAAATCAATCGTTAGCCAAGAACTTTCCCTATCAAAGGAATTCGATCGCCTTTTGGCACCCCGGCCGATAAGCTTTACGTTCCAGACTCTGGATGCGGCAATATTTTACGGCCGACCAGTGCAATATGGAATGCGATCGTTGATCGATAGTGCCGAAATAATTCCAATAGCCTTGGGATTTCAAGTGCCTCAGCGGGGGTGCAGTGGGCCATTCTGACCACATTTCCGAGGCTTGACGACAGTTACCAATTATAGAGTTGTGTTTATGGATCCCCAATTTATGGCGGCTAAAGTCATGCGATGCTGTCCAAATTTCATTCATATTTTAATGGCATTGATAGGCCTTACTCGATTCAACTGGAAGTACAAATAATGAGAATAACTAGTTTATTTTTAAAAGGTTTAGCAATTCCAGATAAGTTTACAAGTTTTTAGCAATATGTAGGGTACAGTTTGAAAAGATCGAAATGTATAATTTACAGGTTTAATTTTTAAAAAATATTTGTATTTTCTCAATTGATTTTTTTGGCAAGTATGGCTTACGTTAAATCGTATCGGATATTTTTTCCTTATAGAAACGGTAAAATTCAACACTGAACTTAATAACCGATTCGTTGAAGTGGAAAATATTGGTAAGTTTATTGTAAGCTTTACTATTTGTTTCATAACCGATAATGAAAAAATGCATCGTATCGGGTATTATTTTTTCAAACGGTTACGGTAACTTCTATCGGTAACATTGATCTTCTACGAAAGAACCGCTAAGAAAGAACCTATTGCTACGGTCATTTCATTGGTACAATTGATCGTATCGGGTATTTGTTTGGTTAACTATAACGGTAAAACCTATCGCAACGGGCATTTGTTTGCTAGCGATAATGGTCGAAGCCAGCTGTCTTGCTTGCGTGGAAAAGTTTGGCCGCCTCGCCTCGCCGATGCCAATCAATATCAATAACGGCACTTAACAAAGGGCCACCGACAGATAGAGATACATACATAGTCGAGCGATTGAGTGTTCTGTCGTTTTTTTTTGTCGCCAGTTTGATGATGGTTAATCAATGGCAGTTGCTCAAATATGCAATCAGCGGACATAACCTCAAAGGGCGGTCTCAAACACGCCCACGCGCCAGAAAGAAAGGGGGAGATAAGAGAGAGAGAGTGAGAGTGAGACGGAGAGGGAGGACAAAAAGTGTGTCAGTCAAAGTCGACACACGCACACATACATACATAGTCACCCGCCGAATCCTCTCCCAACAACAAATTGCGTGGGAGTGGCAACAGAAAAATTTGATACAAAAACCGGGAACGATTGTGTAATCTAGAATTAGTATTAGGTCCACTACGTATAACCCATGTATGTATGTATGTATGCAAATACATACATATGCATACACATATGCCCGAGTATTGTAATCAAGGCGAACTTATCAAAGTCAGGCGTACGAAATTACTGCAAGACTCTCGCCGTAATTGTTGTTTTTCTTCTAGTTTTCTGTTTTTTGTTTCCATTGAGTTTTGCCCTTGAGTTTGTCCTTTTGGAGCAGAAGCAGCGACGTCGGCAGAGGCTTTTGTTATACGCGGTGGCGCATGTAAACTGGTTTTGGTATAACAGTTTTAAGCGCGCAAGAGAGAGCGGCTCTCTCTGGCGGCCCACACCGACACACCAACACACATGCGCAGGCCGGTGACGAGCCTCCTACGCGAGTGTGTGTCTGTGTGTGTGTGAGTGAGTGCTGCACGTGTTGCCAAACGCAGAAAATGCGATAAAAAAAGTAAAAAAAACAAGCCAGTTGAGAGCCACGACTTTTGTATACCCGCTAAGCGAAATGTGTTGCCCTACCTCCAAGCGTACTTTAAGTCAAAACTTCACATAATCAATAAAAACTTAATTTAAAAATGCGTATTTTGCGATTGAACCCACTGGAAATATGAAGCATAAAAGTAAAACGCCACCTGTCGGCATATACTGATTGAATTTTCGGTCATAAGATATATTGTAGCCTACTTCTAAGGGCTTCGCGTATTCAAATATATGTAGGTCTTAAACTGAAAAGTTAAATATTTTTTATATTTTTATTTTAAACCATACTTTTAGGTTAACATGCCGTCGAGATAACATATTCCCAATATACATATGCCCTTTTTTCAAGCCCAAGCTAATGGGCATCGAAACACCATGACCCCACCACCTTGTGAACCGTTTGGGGCAACAATTCCGATTCCCCGGCGAGATGATGATGCAAGTGCTTCTAATTATAGCCCGCCGGTGGCAAGCGCCTGCGCGATGTCCTGCCGAAAGGTTAACTTAAGGTGAAATGGCCACAGGTTGCTGCCCACGCACACAGAGACGGCCCACGTGCTTGCGTGTGCTTACATAAGCGGCACTTGTGTCTGGAAATGATTGGTATTTTAAAGTGTTACATACATTTATGGGGTTATTGCAAACACACTGAGTAGGTTTTGAACCTAGAAAAAGTATGGAGCCTTACAGTTCATAACCGGAATTCAGTCAAACAGGCAGAAGGTTTTGAAATCACAGCCAAATGTTTTAAAATAATTTAATGCGCCACAAAAATAATAAATCAACCATTCCCATGCAAAATGTTTAAGCTAGCCGACTTTCAAAAACCAACGTTCGTTCGTGAAACCCAAGTGGCAACATAATATGTTTTTAAAATTAAGGTGGCAGCATAACAAGAATGTGGCAACGCCAAAAAATGTATATTTTGCGGTATTTCTGGTATATTTAACCGCACGGCCGTTGGTTATACTAGTTGGCGATAAAGAGTATAATAACAATCGATTACGGCAAAGCTCTTGAATATCGATATTACTCCCATCTCTAGCAACAATGGTTGTTGTTCGAATTCACCGCAAATATTGTATATCCCCCAGTTAATATAAAATAGCGCTAGGCAGCTCCCCGCACGATGACAACCGACGAGAGCATAATGGAGGAGATGCTGGGTAAGTTAGCCCCCAATCCGGCAATGGGAAACCGCGGAACTCAGCGCATTCTTCCTCTTCCACCGCACTGCACACAGAAAGAGCAACAAATCCGGCAAAGAAAATCGACGAACTGGGCGTGCAAATGTTCTGCATTGTGGTCAAAAGCAATGCCCAGCTGGTCCACAAGGCGCAGGAGATGATTGTGGCCAAGGTGCGGTCCACCAATGTCACGGAGGCGACGCGAGCGATTTCGGTAGGTGATATATATGAGACTATTGCATTATCCCTTCTGCCACCCACCCCGCCCATTGTCTCTGCCTAACGGTAAAGGGGTGTGTGTGTGGGAAAAGTACGGCCCACTGAGAACCCACACACACACTCACAAACAACGACGCACAGTGGGCAAAAAGCACACAGAGTCACACGCACTTATGTGGCTGCCTTCCATTCGCAATAACAATTGTTATCAATTGTGGTCGAAATTCGTGCCTGTATTGTATGGCCAGCTGGGTACAAAAGTGGCTAAAATAATATGCAACAGATAGCGGCATTTTCATTTGTCAGGAGCGTTAACTTTGCTTACCAAATTTCATATTTTTTTTTAAATTTTTAGGTAATATGTATTCCTAAATGCCTTCATTTCTATATACTTTAATTATTTATTTTTTGTCATTGGGTGTATATAAGATACTTTTTCGTATGTTAAGTTCGTAAGCTTTCCTTTTTAAATTTAATATGATTTTGAACTTTTTATGTACCATCTTGAATAATATGTTGTTTTTAGTTTTTTTGTTTAAGGGATCCCTACCTATAATATTTACATTATTTTATTAAATGTATACTTTACTTATTATATATCATTTTAATTTGAATTTGTTACATACAATCCTTAAATTCGTAAAATTTTACAATTACTACTTTTTTCGATTTTGTTTTAATGTTCCTGAAAGCCAATATGTTTTATAGTTAGGCATGTTATAACTAACTAACGATTAGGAAAATAGTTTACTTTCTTTTCCTTAAAGTAACATCCCTTTTGATATAGTCAATTATAAATGTCTATTACCTCATTTTTAATAATAACAATATTTTAGAAACTCCTTTGTGCGATCATTTCTTAAGTTTATATTAAACTCTATGTTTAGCTGCTGGAGGAGTGCATGACGCAGTGCGGCGAGGAATTCCAGGACGAGGCGGCCAAGTTCCGCTTCCTCAACGAACTGATCCGCCTGGTGTCCAAGAAGTACATGGGAGCCGAGACGCCACACGAGGTGAAGCAGCGCATCATGGAGTGCCTGCTCCTTTGGACCACGGAGTTCCCGCAGCGCCAAAAGATCCGCGATGCCTACGACATGCTGCGCAAGGAGGGGGATATCGAGCACGGCACTACGGAGTCGGCGGTGGCCAAGAGGGAGAGTGTCCTGGGCACCATCGACGAGGCCATGTTCGCCAAGCTGATCAAGAGCAATAACCCGGAGAACTTCAAGAGGGCCAACCTCCTGCTGCAGTACCGGATGGCGCAGGAGGCGCGACGCAACAATCTGCTGGCCCAGCACCGCTTGGTCCTCAGCGAGGTGCAGGAAACGATGCAGCTGCTCAACCAGATGCTGGACACCTACGACCCGTCCAACCAGGACGTCAACGAGACGCTGCACGAGCTTTACAAGAGCTGCAAGAAGCACAAGCCCATCTTCCAGCATCTGCCGCAGCTGCTGGACGACTCCGATGCCCAGCTAGTAGGTGGGTGTGATTCTCCTCGAGTGGCTTACATTTATGGCCTTCAATCACAGCTTTTAGTTCATTAAAATAAGTGTAATAAGCTCATACCAACATGAAAGAGTGATCAAACAGATTTGGCTCACATAGCTACATTATAAGCTTATTTAGAAGCTTTCCTTTCAAAAATAGTGACAAGTGCTCATGGGTCGGTGAAATCCTCTGCCAGTTACGTACACGTTTATAATATATTCTAATGTCCTACATTTGATGAAAATTTGTAGTCAATGCCGATTTCTTTTTAATTTTAGAAAACAATTTTTTTCATTCAGTAGATTTTATTTCTTACACATTTAGGTTAAATACTTATGTTTTAGTTTTTGAATCACAGCTGAGAAAGAACTTGCCTTCCATGGGTCATCTAATTAGTATAAATAATTCCTGAGAAGCTTTTTATCATGTTAAATTCTGAAGAATTATTTTCAATAGTACTGTGATTCCACTGTTGCAGGGCTCTAAAAAATATATATATATTAACCCCTTAGCCTCCATTCACAGCCGACACCCTGGACGCCAATGGTGCCCTACTCACCACCATGCAGCGCTACAAGCTCCTGGTGCCCTCGCCCACGAGGAGCACTGCTCCCGCCCTGACCACGAGTACTTTAACCACAACCGCATCCACTGCAAAGACCACTCCCAGTGCGACCACAGCTGTCGGCTCCAACAACGCCCTGCTGCTGAACGAGCTGCTCGGGGATTTGCTGATCAGTGGGAGCAGCGAGGGTGCTCCGAGCACCTCAACTATACCAAATACCGCCAGCAGTAATTCCAATGCAACCACGGCCACCGGTGGGGATCCGCTGGCCGACTTGAGTGACATCTTCAGCAGCGCCCTGGCCGAGAGTGAGGCGAAGCAGAGCCAGAGCCAGAGCCAGCCATTCCAGAATGCCACCACGTTGCTGGAGCCGCAGGTCCTGAGTCCGGGCGCAACGACCGAGGGACTGGCCAATGGCAACGGGGGCGAGGCCAGCAAAGTGCCGGGAACGGCCAGAAAGATGCCGCAGATCGACATGCTCAGCGAGGAGCTCTTCCAGCAGATCCTGCCCACCCAGGATCGGATGCCCAGCTTCAAACGCGATCCCGAGAAGCTCACGCTCAACGACTTGGCCCGCGAAAGGATGCAAGTAAAGGCGCCAGAGGAGCCAGCGATTGCTACAGCTGCTCCTGTTCCTGCTGATTCTGTGGATGATGTTCCCCTGCTCAGCGAGGAGGTTGGAAAGAACGAAGAAGTGGTGGCACCTGCTCCCGTGGCAGCTGTTCCGCCGGCCAAGACGCTTAGCGAGATTCACGTGGACCTGGACACAATTCAGGCCACCGGGGAGCAGCGCATCGTCCTCGACGACGACGACATGCAACTTAGTCTGAACTTCACCAGCGATCGGCCCGGCCATCGTGTGTCGGTGATTGTGATATCGGCCCAGAACAAGAGCCGCCAGCCAGTGCGTGACTTTCAGTTCGAGGCCAGCGTGAAGAAGGTACGAAGCTGGCAGAGATTAGTGCGTGTTCAGAGGGACTAACCTGATTTTCTTCCCTTTTAGCCCTGCAAGGTGCGCCTGCTGCCGCCGACGGACAGCCAGATGCCGCCCCACAAGCCCTTCCGCCCGGCCACGCCTATCAACCAGGTGATGCTCCTCCTGAATCCCACTGGCAAGGCCGTGGATGTCACCTGCATCGTTGGCTATAAGCTGGGCGACGACCCAGATCCCATCAAGGAATCCATTGTGGCCCAGGGCATCGACTACGTGGACTAGAATTCCAGAAACCCAGACGCAGCTTAACCCGCTCCCGTCCACTTAAAATCCATTAAGCCCCAAAAGTAAGAGAAGCAAGCGATAAAAGTCAATTGGCCACATCTATGTTAGTCCCGCTGTATTTGCATTATCTAAAAGATAAACTTGGTTTTAGTTTCTGTATTGTATGTACTTTTATGCCCGTAAGATTTTATTCAAATTGCATTTTGCATACACACGATTTAGTCGTACTATAATTATGTATCAAAGGTTTATAAATTATGAAAAAGTCGCTACAAAAGCCAAGCGCTCATTTTCAGAGGTATTCTCATTTCTCTGTTGAATTGTGGGTGTTGTTTTGATGATGCTTCAGTTCTGGTTGGTGTGTTGCGTATTTGGAGTCATCGCTACTGTCTGTAGTGCCAAAAATTGAGAAATTATTTGACAGAGCAATTGAATGACTTGGTTCCCAACGATTGTCTCGCTTGTTTGGCGGTTTGTGAACTATCTCGATGGAATATATAACCACTCTGATTTTTAGGATCATTGAATATAGGCAGGTATATAGAAAATATATCAAAGAGGACTATGAGCAAAGCTGGCAGTTTTTGAAAACAATTAGAACGGATAAACCCCTCTTGGCATGGGCAATAGTTATAAACATTTAAATGATTAAATTTAGCCGTCTTCAAGCAGGATTCATTTACATTAAAATGAGTTTAGATGTTAAATGAGCTTTCAGCTGTATATTGATTAAAGTTCTGTATAAAAAGGACTTCGGCTTGTATAATGGCAATAGTTCAATAGTTCTTACTGCCCTTTGTGGAGACTTACGTGAGAATCCATCAGGAGACAATCATCCACCCACCTGGAGACAATCAACTCAGCAGGACTCTTGATGGCGACACGCAGATCGCAAAGCTTACAAATTGCCTAAATTCTAGCGCCTAGCTACTACTATTTGCCCACAATCTCGTCTTTGAAGGACAGGGCAGTGATGGCCTTGGTGTGGCCGGTATAGTCCCTGGTGGTTTTCTTTTCCTTCAGGTTCCACAGTCGGGCAATGCCGTCGGACGAGGCGGTGAACAGCCACTTGGAGTCGGCGCTAAAGGCGGCATCCCAGACCCAATAGTTTTCGATGCACAGCTCGAGCCATTTTGTGAAGTCATCCGTCTTCCAAATACCCACCGTTCCGTCGCCCGAGGTGGTCAGCAGGAGCCTGGAGTCCGGACTGAATTTGCAGCGCAGTATGTAGCGCTTATGGGGAGTGATCTTTTGTTTGGGCCTCAGCGTGCTCATCTTCTGATCCTGACTGGTCAGCGACCAGATGTAGCAGTTGCCCTTGTTATTGGCCGCCACCAGATATCTGCCGTCCGGCGAGATGGCCACATCCTGTATGGAGGCATCCACCTCGGGCACGATCCTCTCGTGGCGCTCCGACTTGACGTCCCACAGAAAGACGCTGCCGTTCTGCGACCCTATGGCGATCTCCACCTGGTTGGGATGCAGGCAAGCCGCGTTCACGGGCGCCTCGCAGTCGAACACCCTTGAGCAGTGCGGCGGGGCGGAGACCATGTCCCAGATCCTCACGTGGTGATCCTCGCCGGCGGTGAACATCCAGTTTCCGTCCTCCTGGAAGCCCAGCCGCGTCACATTCTTCTGTACCCCGTCGAAGTTGATCACCGGGGCGGTGCAGTTGGACTCCAGGTCGTACAGCCGGATGCACTGGTAGCCGCAAGCCGCCAGGCGCGTCTTGTCCGGAGTCCTGTCCAACGCGTTGACTTGCTGGAAGATCGATGGTTGTGCATATGAGGATATTGGGTAAATGGAGTTTATCCTACCGAGGTCTCCACGAATCGCATGGTCTTGATGCAGTTCCCCGTATGCGCCTGCCACACCTTTATCGTGTGATCGTAGCCTCCGGTGGCCAGGATCAGCTGCTGTTGGTCCCCCATCCTTGTGTTACCGCTTAATTGACAGATGCCGCGATTTATCCTCGCACAATGTTTTCATTAAATTCGGCAAAACAAAAAAAACAAGACTGTTATCGATAACCGAAGGCATTAGTTCTTCGATATCGATAAGTTACGCGGTGTTGGTAAGCGCAATTTCGGCTTTTAAACTTATATTTATGAAATACTTAGGGTATTACCTCAACTTTTGAACATTTTTTGTCAGGTGATCCATACAAAATGCAAATAATTTATAAAGCGTACAAAATCGAGGTACGTACATACATAAGTAAGAAATACTAATTTTTGTTTAATTTCGTCACAAAATTTAATATGAATAATTCTGAATGCCGACAGTTCGGTCGTATCTAGTTTTCTACCAAGTAAATAATATGGGTAATATTTTGTTTCTTTAAAAATACGTTTGAAAAACTAGAACAGAACCCCAATCGTTTTTTAATTAATTAAAAATCTTTCATCTTGTCAGCAGAAATGTAAAAAAAGGAGTTTGACCCCAAATCCAACTGAAATTCGGAAATGATCAGGGTTCGAAACAATGAAATAACTCATTTATCACATATTTGGAAAAAAAGGTTTATTCGTTGAATAACTTAGCAACTGGGACTAGCCCGGGACCAGCGTAACGTACAAGGATTGGGGTTGAGTGGAGTGAGCGGTGACCTCTTCTACTGCTGGGGGGCAGTGGTGGCGGGAGCTGTTTCCGCTGCCGTGCGGTTTGCGTCCTCCGGTTTCATGGCGGGGAACAGCAGCACCTCCTGTGGGATAAACGAGATTTAACAAGGATTTCATATAAACAAAACACCGTAGACCCACCTTAATGTTATTGGAGTCCGTGAGGAACATGGCCAGGCGATCGATGCCCATGCCGAAACCGCCAGTGGGCGGCAGTCCGTACTCCAGGGCCGTGCAGAAGTTCTCGTCGACCAGCTGGGCCTCGTCGTCTCCGGCCGCCTTATCGCTGGCCTGCTGCTCGAAGCGTTCGCGCTGCACGACGGGATCGTTCAGCTCGGTGTAGGCATTGCAGATCTCCTTCTTGGCCACGAACAGCTCGAAGCGCTCCGTCAGACCGGGGATGCTGCGATGGTACTTGGCCAGCGGGGACATAATCTGCGGGTGCTCGCAGATGAACGTGGGATTGATGCAGAACTCCTCGATGAACTCGCCCACAAGCTTGTCCAGCAGGCGAGCGGTGGTGCGAGGGGCGGGGCACTCGACCTGGTGCTTGGCGCACAGCTGGGACAGGAACTGATTCGTCTCCGGCGTATTGAAGGTATCGGCCGCCGGGAACTTGACCTGCAGCTTCTCCTCCAACGTTTTGATCATGGAGACGCGCTTGAAGGGCGGCGTGAAGTCAAGTTCCTGCTCGGGTCCCTCTGGACCCTCCGGGTGATAGATGACCTTGTACGATCCACGGATGGCCTTCACCATTCCCGAGATCAACTGTTCGGTGATGTCCATAACGTCGGCGTAATCGGCATACGCCATGTAGAACTCGCACGTGGTGAATTCCGGATTGTGAGTGAGGTCGATGCCCTCGTTGCGGAACTGCCGACCGATCTCGTAGACGCGATCGAGGCCGCCCACCACCAGCATCTTGTGGTACAGCTCCGGAGCAATCCGCATGAACAGGTCCATCTTCAAATCGTTGTGATGCGTTACGAAGGGCTTGGCAGTGGCTCCGCCAGCGATCATGTTCATCATGGGCGTCTCAATCTCCAGGAAACCGAGGCGATCCAGGAACTGGCGAACGTACGAGATGATCTGGGAAAATGGAAGAAGGGAGTGCTTTAATTTTTGGTCGTATTCATTTAATTTATCTGATTCTTACCTTGGCGCGTACTTGGAAGTTCTCGCGCACTTTGTTGTTGAGGATGAGATCAAGGTAGCGCTGGCGGTAGCGCGTCTCCTTGTCCTTAAGGCCGAAATGTAGATGAGGCAGCATGTGGAGGCAGGGCGACAGCAGCTGGATCTCGGTGGGCATCACGGAGAGCTCGCCCTTCTTGGTCTTGCCGGGATGTCCGACAACGCCGATGATGTCGCCGCGTCGCAGCTTGGCGGTGTCCGTCTCGAAGGCGGCCTCCGACTTGTAGGACTTGGCGCTGGCCATCACCTGCACCTTCACACCCTCGCCGCGCAGATCGTAGAAGATAAGCTTGGCGCCCGACTCGCGGATGGCATGGACACGCCCGGCCACGCTCAGCGTGACATTCTCCAGGGTCTCGCCCTCCTTGAGTCCGCTTTCGTACTTGGCAATGAAGTCCTCCAGCGAGCTGCTCACATGGAACTTGTGTGGATAGGGATCCGTGGTGGGCGAACGCTTCAGCTCCTGGACGGCGGCGGATCGCAGCTTGAAGTACTCGTTGGGCGAGATCTCCTCCTCCTCGGCTGCGCTGGTCTTCTTCTTGCCGCTGGCAGCACCATCCGCCGGAGCAGCAGCCGCCTTCTCGGCCTTCTCCTTGGCCTTCTGCTCGGCCTTCAGGCGGCGCTTCAGCTCACTGTGGGGCGAGAAAGTGGAATAGGTTGATATAAATAGATGGAGCCAGATGCTACCACAAGGCTGTCATAACTACGCGGGTATATTTCCCAGGATTCAGTGGCTATGACTCTGGGTATCCCTGCTACATAGTTATGACAGCCTGGCCAACGAAGCGGATGAGTAACCCACAGTTTGGTCTGCTTGCTCGGCTGCAGTTGGCAGCCGCTCACGTGGAAACCGGCGGCCTGTGGCCAAATCCTGCTGCACCTGGACCTGGGCCACGCCCCCTGCACGGTTTTAAGGGCGCAGCGGGCGAACATTGTCACTTCTTGTACAAGCCGCAATGTTTCATCAGCGGTCAACAAGAACAACAACAAAAAGCACTGGAACGTTGCCGTCTCAACCTAACCTCAAAGGAATGCTTGGTTGGCCGGACGAACGAATGGAATCGAATCTCGGCGAGTCCGGGCACTTACTTCTTGGACAGTTCTCCACTTGCAGCGGCCATGCTGTTACCGGTTAAGTTGCTCGCTGGTTAAGCCCGAGGATTCGAAAGGCGGCGCAAATTGCGAATGTGAAGCGCCACAAAAGTACAAAAAAAGGTAAACGGCCAGGGCTGCCAGATGCCGTCAATTCGATTTCGCGCTTATCAAAGTGGCCACTCCGGCGGGCAGTGGTACCGTTGCAGCGTGCTGGCAAATCACAGCATTGCCATCCGGTAACACTGGCTGCGCGTAAAAAATATTTTGTAGCTTTTTAATTACAAAAACTTTAATTAACAATTGATAAAATAAAAAGTCGAAAAAATAGAAGAACCAGTCTAATGGCAGTGAGCACGGAAATGCGCGGGTCGAAGGGCAGCAAAGGTCACAACGCCGAAGTAGAGCAACTGCAGCTGTAACTGTAACCGTTAACCCTGGGCAGGGCGCGGGGGCAGGGTGGCATTGCTGGTAGGGGTAGGGGCGGACGCAGCGGAAGAGGAAGAGAGGTGGGGACGCCAAACGGAAGAGGAAGAGCACATCTTGAGTTCCGGAGGCCAGCGAAATGGAGCCACCAGCTGCTCCGGTGGCCCTAAAGCCCTTGGCAGCATCTTCGTCATGCCTGGCGGACAGGAGCCCAGTGGATCCCATTGCAGCCAGGTCGCAGGAGGAGGAGGAGGAGGAAGAGGAGGAGGAGGAGGAAGACGATGAGGACGAGGAGGATGATCCCAAGGAGGAGGAGGCCTTCTACGAGGCGCGCAATGGCAACGAAAGCGATGAACTGGAACAGGCCTTTCAGAGTGCCCTCACCCTGACCAACGATGTCCAGGTGAGTGTCAGCGAGGCGGAGGAACACGAGCAGGAGCAGAATCAGGAGCAGCCATTGCCATCAGGAAACCAGGAAACGGAGGAGCAGCTGGGGGCCTGCGCACTGGCCAGCCCACAAAGTGAAGCATGTAAGTAACACGAGCATAGAAAGCCAATTCAACCGTTTATTCTTCCTTCCCTACTTACAGCGCCCAAGGAAGAAAAGACCCCAGAGTCCAGGGAGCCCAAGGAACCCCGCCACCAGACCCTGCTCTCCACCAAATCCTGCGAGACGCCGGCCAACAATGCCACGCTCTCGCCAACCAACTCCTACAACGGCAGCATCGGTAGCGATGGTGGCAGCAGCGTGGGCGGTGGCGCCCGTCGCAAGTCCTGGACTCTGTCGCCTCAAAGCGGTGGCTCCACGCCCCTCAGCGGCGCCAAGAAGAAGACCAAGGCGGGTGCTTCGCCCGCCACCACACTGTCGAATGCCAATGGAGACGGTTTTAATCTGTGGGTGGCTCGTGAGTGCTTCGAAACCGTGCCCGCCGAGATGGTGGATACCCTGAGCATGGCTGAAGTGGATGAGGAGGTCGAGGAGGAAGAGGACGAGGAGGCGGCTGCTGTGGAGAGTCTGCTGGGGGCCGCCGCCGCCCTTCAGGCCAGTACCCATGTGCAGCGCCGTCAACAGCAACAACAGCAACAGAAGCAGCAGCAGCAGCAACAGCAAAACCATCATCATCTTCGGCAGCCCTCGCCACCACAGCATCGTCCGCTGGAGCGCTCCTGGCCGCCGCGGGCCGTTGGTCGGGATCTCAAGCTGCAAGGCGATGTCTTCCAGTTCGACATCCTGGACACGGACGAGCGACTGGCCGAGGAAATGCCCCAGGGCAGTGGCAGTTCCAATAACTCACCCCTGGCCACGCCACCCGTGCGATTCAAGCCGCTTCTGAAGAAAAAGATCGGTCCGGACAGCTACATCAACACGATCAGCACACAAAAGGTGCCGGTCCACCAGAGCTATGAGTTTCCCACCTTCCCCAGCTCCTCGGGTGTTGGACACCCGTCCTCGTCGCCAAACAGTCTGCAATTTCCGTATCTGCGTCAGCACCGTCCGCTCACCCGTGCCCTTTCCAATGGCAAGGCCAGCTCTTCGGAGGAGCAAGCCTCGCCACGTCTTCTGCTGTCACCGAAGCGGCCGCGGAGTCCTCCCTCGGGCTGCTCCACGCGCAGTGCCTCGCCCCTGGATCTCAGCCTGAGTCCGGAGCAGCACTCGCCCACCAGGGGCAGGGGAGTGGGTGGCGCACTTCAGGATGCCGCCGCACCAGGAA